ATGATCCATTTCGAGTTTTCCAGGCTGCACAACTGAAGAGCGATTTATGGCGACGATGGCTCTTGGGCTTTCCAATCGCCAGCACATGACTGCCATCCACAACGACATAACCAGTCAGATCAGCGAGCTCCGTGATCATGCGGCCACCTCGGCAGCTGATAGTGCTGTTAAGGCGCCTTGGCTCAATAAAGAGGACGCTGCTGAACTTCGGGTAAGTTCAGAACTCATCATCCACATCTTTTTGGCAACTGACCTCCTTGATTCAGTCATGTCTCCGCAATACTGCCTTCAAGCAAATCCACCGAGGTGACATACAGGCATATACAGCGACTGCCGACAAAACCGGACAGAAGAACAAATTGCCGGCATGCCTTCACGCGGTAGTTATGGTAAGCAATTCTTCTTCTTCTTCTTCTGTCCAACACTCACCCTATCAAGAAAGAGGCTTACAAGGGCCATACTGTAGAATGCGATACTTGCGAATCCCACTCCCTGGAAGAAACGGTTGCTGCCTCCTGGATATGGCAAAAATCCCAAACAATCCCACACCAAAGCTTTCGGCTCTTTGGTCAATGTGGTGTTGAAAGAAGTACGAAAAGAATTCGAAGGAAGTGTGCGTTCTATTTCATTTTTCTGATTGATTGAATCGAATCGGGTTGAATCAAACTGAATTGAATTGAATTCAACTCAATTTGCAGCTACTCGAAAACATTCACCTTCCCAATCGAACCGGCCCTACTGACGAAGAAGCGGTCCCCACCATTGAATCACTTTATGTCAAACTCAAGGAAAAAGAAGCCGAAAGCAAAGTAGGTCGAGTAGTTGTTCGTGAAGAGATCGTGGCCAACTTTAAGCATCAAGAAGAGGCTCGATTAGCTTACCTGGTACGATTATGCACCACGTTTTCCTTTCCTTGTTGAAACTGATCAGTGGTGTTTTACTTCCATCAGCGCATGCAAGCCTGTCATTGGGGCTTTTACAAATCGGAGTACAGTGATAAGAGTTTTTGGTGCGTGGTGGATGACCAATTGGAGGTCTTACGAAAACAATCGAGAAGATATCGATATGCGTAGGTTCTTATCCTAACATGTTGATCTTACTGTTACTAACAAACTTCCAACATATGTGATAGGTTTGCTATCATTTGTCTGGCGGAAGATTATGATTTGTTCAAGGGTAAGAAGACTTTAGCAGAACTCCGACCCCTCACCTCCTTCCCAGTTCCCGACGACGAATGGATTCGCAAGGTCATGAGTGAACTTGATGAAACCTGGGGCGATGATGTTCCAGAACTAGAAGCCCTACATGAATGAGTAGTTCTCTTTGGCAAAGTCATTCTTTTATTTGTTTATTTGGTCTTTTTCATTTAAAACAGCCTGGCGCTATTGTAACATATTTCTTTTGTTATCTCATGTTGTTTGTATTTGTTATCTTATGTTTTGTATGCAATGAACGGCCTAGCGCCGTTATTTATTGTTTATTCCACATCACAGCCAAAAGCGAGACCCAGAGCAAGCGCGAGAACAATTCAGAGCAAAACAGGAGCAGCAAAATCGGGGATCCTTAAGCGTATTTCAACCAGCAAAAAACTGTTTTCAAACCAAGTCTGAAACATCGGTTTCAAACCTGATCGGCGGAGTCAAGTTGACCACCGGTTTGTCCGTCACCAAAGAAAGTCGGTTTCCCAACGGATTCTGAGCACCGGTTGAAAAACCGTTTCGGTGGGTCCGTGGTGTAGTGCAGTGGCTCCAAAATCCAGCTATGGTAGCTTGCAGTCACGCTTTACTTTGTTTGTCCCATTTTGAATATCATAGGCACATACAGAAAGATTTTGGGTGGCATGGTGGTACATCACAGGTGCATGTACTGTCTCATTGAAGATATTATCTAATATCAATGCTGGATGGAATATACTGCTTACATTCCCTGGATCAGGCATTTATGTAGAAAGATATCTGTATCTGTTTAAGAAAGGTGTATGACAGGAAAATTGCATTCGATAAAGTATAGGAACATCTTAGCTTAAACAAGCCCTCTCTGCGCAGCCACATGCCTCACAGAGGGGCTTGGGACTAATTGTGAAATCTTGGCACACAGACTCCAAGGATTAAGTCCTCTTGAGTCATTTTTTGGCTTTCACAGTGTTCCTCACTGATAAACAACACTTTGCTTTACATGCAAAGTCCTTTGGCATGATTTTGTACATGTGTTCTACCACTGATCAACCCGTAAAAATCCTCCATTTGTGAATGCTTGAGGTTGCTTTTCAAGCTATCTGTCTGCCCTGTAAGGGGGTGGACCTCACTGTACAGCCCATATTCAAAACACAAAGCGCCTTAGATTTTCATCCCATTTTCCCAGCCAAATCACCCAGGATATCTTAGATATGAGCATACCAGGATGTGTACAATATCATGCTGTAGAAAGTTGCCTGCAAGGAAAATTGGTATTTATCAGTGAGGAAAACAGGAAAAAGAAAAAACAACCTAAGAGGACTTAATCCTTGGAGTCTCCATGCCAAAATTTTATGATTAGTCCCAAGCCCCTCTGCTAGGCGCACAGACATGGCCACACAGAGAGGGCTTGTTCAAGCTAAAGGAACATCAGGGGTCAGGGAGGGGAAAGATCCAATTGAATTCCTCCAATCCAAAGTCAAAAATGTTGTCCTCAAAATGTGTGAGTACCAAGTCAAAGGTAATCCTCTGGACAACCATTTGTGGGGTTGACTTCAATAGGTCAACTGATAGGCCAAATCAGCTTCAGCTCATTCCACCAAACCTGTAAAATGAGGCCAACTGTGGGCTTAACAACAGTTCTTACTTACTCATGATTTGACAGTCCTTTTTCAAAAAAAAAATAGACAGGCTTTCACATTGATTTGTGAAGATCAAGTTCCCTTGTGAAATAAGCATATCATGGTTAGACTAACTATGTAAAGAGAATCACAGATAAAACACTCTCTCACATTCAATTGATCCTCCATTCAACCTTGAATTTCAATGTGGTCCACTACTACTTTTTTCATGAAGTAAAAAAAGAAGAAAATGGTGATAACAAAGTTTAAAAGCACGAGAAAGAAAACATGGAACAATGAGTACAGAAAAGGTATGTTGTAGTCCTTTTGAGGAAACAAGAGAGGAAGATAAAAAAATCAGTCTCAATGCGCACTTTTCTTGTTCTTTTCTTTGGATCAAGACACAACCTTGTTGAAGAACCTCTTCCTGTCTGGGCCTGGTTAAAGAAAGAGGAAGCCTTTGGGTAATAAGGAAAGGAGAGATGATTTTGTTTGGCTTTTTCAATTTATCTAATCATTTTTCTTAAGAGTTTCTTTGGTCTAATGAGCAAACTTGCCAGGGGCCAGCAGCATGAAAGACTCATGTGGCAAGACAAAAAAAGTTGAATAATCAAAGCCTATCAATTCGGGTGTACACGTACGAACTTGGGGTTGAGATAATCGATATGCATTCAAACATCCCATCACTCTTTTCACTTCCCTCAATCGCTGCCCCAGGGGGTTCCTCCTTTAGGTGGTAGTGTTGTTGGATATCAGACCAGCTTCAGCTGCTCGAAGTTCGAAGATGAGCACTCTCCCTTCAAACACAACATGCGACCATATGAGGTAGTCTAAGTCAGTCTCAAAGATAAGAAATCAAGATGACGAGAAAACCCACAAAATTTAAGAGTAAATTCTTCAGCTTCCTCAGCTAGAACTGGTTCAAGTTCTGTGACTAAACCTTGCGCATCTTTGTGAGCTCTGATATGATCAATGATCGCAGAGACCAACTCATCTTCTTGCATTCCAAGATATTCGATAATCTTCTTATTCGCAAACGGTTCGAGTTTTTCTTTGATTATGGTCTAGAGATGCATAGGTCTCGAGCGTTAGCTGTTGTGGAAAAGGAAAGCTAAAAGGAAAGTTTCATACCTCGCTCAACCACTTCCAGTCCACTGTCAGCAACCACAATGCATCTTTGTCATTAGGAATAGATGAGACTATTTCACGCATCTTCTTTTTCTTCTTCTCTTCCACCATTCCTGCTGTTTCCCTGGGTTTGGACGTTATGGTCGGGTTGCCAAACTGAATGTTGATCTTGCTTGGGGTGGGGTTTTGTTTGGTTTCGTCGTCATCGTATGTCAGTGGGATCAGAGCTCTCTTTTTCCTAAAACCGTCGTCATCATCCTCATTACCACCCAAAACTCCACCATTGCTCTTGTTCTCCTTTTTCAACGAGATCGGTTGTAAGGTGGTCGAAGTTCCTCCGGAATTGTTTTTACCATTTGTCTGGTTAGAGTTGTGGCTGGCGCTGAATCCACCAAAAGACAGCTGTATCGGTTTGCCGCCTTCGTCAAGTTGTAAAAGTCCAGCTTTACGATTCTCATCTTGGATCTTGGCGATCATTTCAGCTTGTCTATTTAAGAAGTCCTCCGACTCTTTCTTGATCGCTTCTAATTGCTCTTGCTCTAATTCTTCGTCGATCCTATCTGATTTTTCTTCACGCTGTCGGAAAGTCTTTCGAATCGATCTCCATTTCGATCGATTGGAGTAAAACAATTCTTTGCCTCTGCTGATCTCGATATCGTCATCCCAGTTCGATAGTCTTGCTTTTGTTTGATTTCGGATGCGCGTTTCTTCATCTCTAATCGATTTTTCTCGTTGTTGATCTCTCTGATTGGTCTGTGCTCGATTTCGTTCTCTCGTCTCCCATCGGCGTTCACGGTCTTTGAATTCAAGATGATTCATGCGTTTTTTTCGGTCTTCCCTCATTTTCTCTTCTTCCTCGTCATTTACAGGAAGAGACGCATCGTGGTTCGAAGATCCTGATCCAAGCTGCTGTTGGGCCGCAGCCATCTGACCAGCACGAACAAATCCCATTGGTCGGTTGAAGGTTTGAGGGTCATTTGCAGGCGAACCGCTGGGGCCCGAGCCAGAGCCACCGCGTGGACCCATCGGCGTGTTGTTAGAGGATCCGTAACCTGCCTTATTGTTGTTATTTGAGCCACCAAAACCGCGAGATCCAGCAGGTGAACCTGATCCACCATCCCTACTAGCGCGATCTCGCTGTTCTTTAGATTTCTCGGCGTCGCCTCGCTTGCTGATAGCCCGTTCACGGAAAAATTGTATTTCTCGCGTGATAAGACCTCGCGACTCTTCAGGCAGATCTTCAGGTGCAAGATCTTGTAAATGAGCGGCCATGTTCTTCTTGTTGGAGCCATTAGCCGTTGCAGCAGGGTTATTAGCAGACGTAGACTCGGATGCAGTCGCCGCTAGAATGTCCGGATCTTTCATTTGCGAAATTAATCCTTCAAGACGTTCAATAACTTGGGTATCCAGCTCAGTGTCTTGCTAGAAACAGTCATGTGGATCATTCAAAGTGATTAGCGACAGGTTTCGAAGCGGAATCGATTTGAGTTAATGACTGAGCTTACATCAGTCTTAATTTTGGTAGCTGCGTATGTATCGAGCCTTGCTTTGGTTTTGTCATCGGGCTTGATCATTAAAGCCTTCTCGCCGCCACGACCACCATTGATCGGAAGTTTGGCACCATCGATCACCTTCATACATCTCAGTACACTTTCCGGGTCGCCGTACTCAGCGAAACCGAATGGTTTGGGCTTCCCATTCGGGTCCCTGATGCGCCTTAATGAGACCAGATGACCTGCACATCCTAATAATCGTTCGAGCCAGGCGTCATCAACCCCATCGGCAATTGAACCCACAAAGAGACTGTAGATCTCAGTGGGAACAGGTCTGGTTGGTAAGGCGGTGGGAGTAGATTGAGAATTGATCGGGTTATTGACGTTCAACGGAGGAGAAATGATTGAATTGATGTTGTGTGGCTGGCCATGAGAACCCAGTCCAGCATGACGATTCTGTGGTATGAATGTCGGCGGTGTATGATGTTGAAATTGGGGATGAGGGTGATGTTGATTCAAGACAGGTTGGTGAAGGCCAGGTGGAGGAAGATGTTGAGGATGTAGATGTGGAAATCCTGGTGGAGGGGGTAGATGGTGAAACGAATTCCCCACAGGAAGTGGCCCTTGAGGTGAGTGTTGATGAGGTTGAGAAGCAGGTTGTGGTGAAGGAGAAGGTTGTTGAGAATGGGGAGCTCCATAGCCCATCGGTGCTGGAGACTGTTGGGACGGGGTTGATCCCGGTGGTGGTTGGGCAAATCCCATAGGGTTGGGCGGCTGAGGCGTAGTAGTGTGGTTCATACCAGGTTGGACGAAGGGTGGTGAACCCAAAGGAGGTTGGAATGCGCCCGGAGGAGGAGGGCCATAACCAAGAGGTGGCTGTTGACCGTGAGGTGGATAAGGAGGATACGCTGATGGTCAACGCAATGAGAAGCATGTTCAGCCGACTTTCTGATCGGGGGAAGGGATGGAACAGAGTGAGAGATATCACTTACCACCACCGTACATTATATGAGCGAAGAGAAGAATATATAAAGCTGGAGTGAAAGACTATCTGACAGATCGATTCAAGGAAGAAAGAAACCTCTCACAATCCAAACCACAAAAGGTCAAAGTCATTCAAGCCGAATTGTATGCACTAAGTTATTTTAGAAGGAACTGTGTATAAAGCCATGATACATAAGTCAGACTCAGGTCACCCTACAAAACAAATCGGGTTTTAAACTCTATGTCACATACATCGTTACCTTACATCAACCTTTCACAACTATTACAAGTGATCTGGTTCATGGAAGTTCAGCAGACTTATTTGCACCAAAAAATCATGATTGTAAGGCAGAATGAAAATAATATGTACTGTTTGGTGTGGTTGGATGTATGATCTATAGCTTTAAATAATTGGTCATGGATTGAGGACAAGTGATCCTATTTTTTACTTTCAAGGGGAGTTTAGTTCTACAAGTTTCTGGTGTTAACCAAGATGATTGGGACCAAAACATCATAACTCAGTCTCATCTTGAAGTTCCACTGCACAAAATCAAGAGTGCAACCACTCATGCTATTCAATATCAGAAAGATGTAGTGCAAGACTAGCCTGCAAGAAATAATCAGATGCACTAGGCCTCAGGTACTTAATGATACATTTGAAAGCAGTAGTATTAGACATCCATAATTAACTCATCTTGATGCTCCACCCTCAATTATGCAAAAAAAATGAAAGTCCAACAAATGATCTTGATAAAGAACAGGATCATATACCACCACTATATTCTTTGATATACAAGTAGACATACTGATGCTCAGATACATAACCAAGTTTTCAGAATATGTGAAGATGAATCAAACCAAACCACAAACCAAAGCTCATCTATGGTGTACACCATATTATAAAAAACCTAAGTGCAATCATCTTGGTAAATAGTAGAAACATGTAGCACCACAGTAAATCTTGGGATACAATACATAAACCCATGGGTACAGGTTTATAACCAAGAGGAGCCATAAACATCCCCCAAACAAAATCACACCTTATTGCCAAACTTCAGGCACACCTGCCCATCTTGTGAAAGATTGCAGCTACTCATTTTGATCTGCCATGTCTAGGACTACCCAAAACTTAACCAAATCCCTCTTGAGCTGTGCCCGCTCAAATGAAGGAGTTACATACAAAGTCAATGTTTTGGTGTGAGAGTAGCCTGAGATTTATTCCAAAAACCAGCCTCCTTATAAAACATTTTTTTATAATTTCAACATGAATCATCTGGTTTGCAATGTGGAGCCATACCAAGCTGTGAATGTGATTATACAGGAGAGTTACAAGATATTGATACTATTACCGCTGCATGAATTTTAATGAGACTCAACATGGGGCATGTCCTAGGTTCCATCAAGAGACCTGCCAATATGTAAATCCTTGTGCATTCAAGGTGACCTACCAAGATGAGTATTCAGGGGGAAAATAAATTGGTGCCATTTTGAACTTCTAAATTTGTTTTAAAAGTATGTGGTCACAATCAAAAAGCTTGTATACAATGTGAGATAGATTTATAAAACTTTCCAAGGAATTTTGTAACCCTTTTGTCCTCTTTTATCTGGATAACAATTTTGTAATATGCCATGCCTTGATAATCCAATCAATTATATGATGATCTATAAATATTTCTGGTGGAATCATTAGTGTACAACCTCTTTTCATCTTTTTTGAAAGCATCTCTATCATTTTTCTTGTTAGCTCAAGAGGTGTGTTGATCACATGTGGTTTTGTCATATGAGAATTTGAATTTCTTGATATCTCCTTTATTCTGGAGCTCAGGAAAACTCAATGGAGCTTTGATGTATTTTAATCTTCATTCTGACCAGCATTAAATTTACAGTGATGGATTAATAAAAAGAGATAATAAGGGGTGTCAAGTTTGAGTTTTTTTATGGCTTTTACCCTAACAAACATCTCCTGCTGCAGCATAGTTTTAGGCAAATTTGACAAAACCAGGAGAAGTTTTATGTATCCCGTTTTTGCAAAGTTTTTGCAAAATGCAAACAATGTATGTATGTTTACAACATTTGATGAGAGAGCTCACCTTGACTGATTTGCTCTTGTAAACAGTGGGCTTGATAGTGGATTCAAGGTTTCCAATCTCAAAGGTGGATTCATTGGTCCAAATGACTCGCTTCCAATCACCCACCGTCCATGCTGCATAGTTTTCTGCAAACTCAAGTCACACCGCTTTATGTTTAGCACTCAAATGGGGCTTCACTATTGCTACTCTTGAGTTGTAACCGAGGGATTTTAGAGCCAGTCAAATCGTAGCTGCACTCGCTTTTGTTGCAGATCACTGGACTATATCACACATGGGAGCTTTTCAAGACTGTTTGACATCACACTCAAGATGTTGGAGATTGCAATTGGTCAACAGAGATGGTTGGCCAGATGGTTTGTGGCCTTTTATTGAGCCTTCTGCCTTGAATTTTGCAAGGTCAGATTGGACTGTTGTGCCTGGACACCCTAGAGTTTGGCTGATATCTATGTTTCTCTTCTTTGCAAGGTGCATTCCAACCATTTGGTTTGTAAGATCATATGGTAAGGGCTTCATATCAACAATTTCAGAGGTGATTATCAACACATTTGACCAGAAGATTGGTAAACAACAAAAATTAAAATAAAAAAAATTAAAAACTAAAACCATAGCTTTTATGTAAATGTGTGTATAGTGCGTGGAGGCAAGACCTTGGCAATTTGGGATCAAGTAAATACAGGTAAATACTCAATAAGTTGCCCTTTTGTCCCCGCCAGCTCAAATTTCAGATTGTCCAATCTGGTTGGATTCTAATTTTTTCATCGAAATCATTTGCTGCTCTTTCAACTCGAGCTCGGTTTAATGTCCCAAGCCAACAAGATCTTGGGTTACAAGTTGTTCTTTTGCTCAACTTCATATGACAAAAACTCACGGAGATAAAATACATTTGCCAAAGAAGATTAATTCTTCAGAAAAAAAAACAAGAAATCATTATTTTTCTCCAAAAAGATATGCAGGGATTGCTCTGCATGAGAGCGGTCCAAAAGCTGAGAAAAATTTGATAAAGGTGATGTCTTGATATAGATATACTCTTTTGAAAAAAAAAACCCAAAAGATATGCATGAATTGCGCTCAATGAGAGCATTCCAGAACTCCAATCGGCTGGTTGATACAATAGGTTTTGAGGTGTAGCAATCATTTCGGGCCTTCTTTTGAATTTGACAACAATTTGCCTCCACACACTATACATAAGTACATATTCCAGAGTTATATATATGCATCAAACTTAAAAATGTATGACCTGGGATCTTACTGCCCCCCCAAAGTATGTAAATTAAATATACATTGACTTGTCTTGGCAAAGACCCAAAATATGCAACCTTGACCAATTCACTTGATTCACTGCTAAGAGTATAATTAAAAACTATGTAGAAGATATTTGCAAAGACCTGAAACATGCAGCATTTTAATATCCTTTGGATTGAGCAGAGTTTATCCCTGTTTATCCGGCTTGAACAATATTCAATAGCTGTAATCATGCATCAAAAACAACCACACATAATACCACATATGATTCACAGAACCCAATTAAGTAAAAAACATGAGTGTTTTATCACCAACATTGTTCAAGGCCTGTAATTTCAGGCACTCACCTCCAAATTCAGTATAAATTCCACCCCACTAGGCCCAGGAAAAATCCTCATTATGGCCAACAAATTTTGAATATTTGCCATAGAATTTTGAAAAGCTTCCAATCAACAATTTTTCTTATCAATATCATTCAATTGCTTCACTGAGGTTACATAGCTGTTTTTTCAAGATGTAAGTGCAGCTCATTCCCAAACTCTGATTTCATTAAGGTTTATGGCTTTAGAACCTTCAAGTACCACAGAATTGTCATCATATATCTCAGAAGAATTGGACATACTGACAATTGGTGGGGACTGTGGAATGTATCTTGCTTCTTGAACCTTCTCTATTGCAATATGTTCCAATAGAAGATCCCATTGTTCTTTTGTTCTCCACAATTTTCTCATCCCTGAATTCTTTCTTTTGTCACTTCTAAACTTATCACAAGTGCCACTATTTAAAATAATTCAACCAAGTATTCCTTGAAACAAACAGTAGACTGATCCTGCAGTTATCTGGTTTTTGGGCTTTGTGCAGCCAATCATTGATTTCAGATTTTTGCATATCAGCACTCCAGTAAGTTGATAAGAACTCTCCAATCAGATGGTTCCTAGATTTCTATCTCTTCTTAATCAGATGATCCATTAACATACTGATTCATCACAAGATTATTTCAGGGATGCTTGCCAACAGACATTCTGGGTTCATAGCCTTGATGTTTGTGTCTGTTGTTTCAATGGTAATTGGGTTTAATGGCGTAGAAGGTGTTTATAATTTTAAGTGTACTCTTTGTAAAGAAGAAAGGCACCTTACACATACAGATTCCAGGGAATTTGGAGAAAAACTGGCTTGTGATTGTATGTTGCCAGAGTCAGAGAAGTGTAAAAGACAAAGACCAGTATATTATTTGGTGTGCCAATGTGGCGACTTTCATCTTGATGGGGAATGTCCTGGGAAACATCAAGGGTCCTGCACAGAAGTTCATCCACTCCCAGTATCAAGGGAAAACCAAGATATTGTGAATCTCTCAGATCAATACCAGAACCGCTCCGCAACATATAGCGGTATCGGAGCGGTATTGGAGCGGTTTTTACACCGCTATATTGACCACTATACGTAGCGGTGGCTCCGCTCCGCCATCCCAAGGCGAGAAAACCATTAGCGGTCTGACCGCTCCGATATGGGAAGGGTCTGAGGGCACTTCAATATGCCTTTTAGCCCTTATAGCAGTGATATATAGCGGTATCGGAGCGGTAAAATACCTTCCGCTCTGATACCTTGTGATATTTTTTTAAAAAAAAATATCGGTCAAGTATCGGTGATCTCATAGCGGTTACTCCGCTCCGATACCAAAATGGGTTGAAA